GGACCTGCCAAGTGTCCCCTAGTTGGAACTGTCAGGGCTTGCCACGTGGCACGCGCTTATTCGTCCACCTTGGACCTGTTATGTCACGACATGTGGCATACTCCATGCCTAATGGAGAAACCGGCCACCCAGGCCCAACTTCCGAGGGAAGCCCAATCGGCCCTAGGTTTACCTAAACCTAGGATGGGCACGTTTCCCAAAGTTATAAATACCTCCCTTAATCCTCATTAAGGGGGACAACAAAAAAGATTACGAAAAAGAGAACAGAAATATTACGGAAAAAACACATTAATTACACACAGTAATAACCGGCTGATCTCGCTAACAAAGCAGATTACCTACATTAAACACTCTCACCTAGAGAGACCAAATCACTTTAATTTCCGCATTAATTACTCCTTAATCAGGTACTAACTTGACCGTTGGAGGCGGAGCTCACAGGAGTCTCCGTTATTTTGCAGGTACAGGCGTCCGGTTCCAGTCTCGGAATTGTAACTCTCCCGCAGGACATCAGAAAACCCCGAAACAGTTGCCTTTTATGATACATGAACGGTTTACAAGTTCCTTTAAAACTTGTAGGCGACTCCCTACTTTGCTTTGTCCCTAATCGTATTATGTCAATTCCTACTTCCTAAGAGTGCCAAGCATATTCACATATGCTTAATGTAGGCGCACTTCGAGCGACGCCTACAATTTGGCGACTCCACTGGGGAGGATTCTTGATTATTTATCGATTTGAGTGATCGGTATTTAATTAAGATGAGTGGATGAGACTTGAAAGATTCTTGAAAAAATATTCCTGTGATTAATTTGGCATTTTTGCATATGCATAGACGTTTTAACGTCGCATTTAGGTCTGTCCCATAGGAAAAATTGAATAACTTGATTGCGTACGAAGGAAAACAGGGCACCAGTCGGATTTTCTGACTGCCGTGCCACGGCAAAATCTGTCGTGTCACGGTACAGTGCACCGTCTGACGGTGTGCAGTACCGTGGCACGGGAATTTTCGCCGTGTCACAGCAGTCCTAAAATCAGTCCGGTGGCTTATTTTCTCTTCTCACAGTCAACTTCCTTCGATTTTGCTGAAAAAACGTATGTGTTCTACATATGTCTTAGCCCCGGGTGATTTAAGCTCTATCAACCCAAAAATGCTCATGGCAATAAGGGTTCATCCGAGTTATTAAATCCACCCAAACCATGGAGTTGAGTTCGAGTTCATCACAAACTCGCGGAGCCGCCCGTTGGCATACACCCTCAAGGGAGGCTGACTTGCTAACGCGTCCAAACTCTTAACCATGGTACCCTATTGACACCAAATAAACTTGACCATAGTCGAACATAGAACTTGACCTTAGGTTGCGAACTATTCTTTGCATCATTGTGTCTACGTGTTTTATGTTTGGTCGTTTTGTTCCTAACCTTAACGATCTTTCTTTGTCTATGGTGGGTTATTTTATGACTAACGATTGCCAATGGACCGTACTCACTTAGTAATTAGCAAAAAAAAATAAAAAAATCCCGTGCCACGTCAGCATCCACCGTGGCACAATGGAGTTTCTCGTGGCGCGGTAAACATTCCCGTGCCACGGCACAATCCACCGTAGCCCGGTGGACCTACAGCAAAAAAAAAAAAAAAAAAAAGGTCTGCCGCGCCACGGGAAACTCTACCGTGTCACGGCAAATTTTCACCGTGACACGGTGGATTTCCAAAAAATAAAAAAAAAAAAAAATTCCCGTGCCACGTCAGCATCCACCGTGGCACGGGAATGTTTACCGTGGCACGGGAAAGTTCACCGTGTCACGGCAATTTCCACCGTGACACGGTGGATTTTCCAAAAAAAAAAAAAAAAAAAAAAAAAAACCGCGTCAGTCAAGTCTTTCGTGTTAATTTGGTCCTCGCGTCAGTCATTTTGGTTATTGTTCACATGTCTAGCCATACGATCATACCACGAGTCTTATAACATCACTTAGTCACTCACGAGTCAAGTATAGTCCACATACTTTCTTTATGTTCCGACTCGAGTCGTGCACCAGGTCGTTTATGATCGTATATTAGGTTCATGCACCCTTTTTTCGTCATAATAAAAAAATGAGTGGAGTTTTTCTCACATGTTTTCAAATGTCTATTTTTTTCCTTCCTTTCCTATCTTGAGCAATGAGTCAAACAATTAAGTGAATTATTTTATTTCACAGTACTTGGTCAAGGAACAGGGATAGATTAATACGGTTCGAGTCATTACCACAACAATCTCTCAGATCTAATAGGCGTTCAAAGAGAACTTTTCCATCTCCATTACTCATCACCTTACAATGACCACTAAAGAAGATATTGAGAACATCAACAAATCCATCGAGTCACTGTCTTCCATGATGCAAACCCTTACCACTAGGGTCACTACCATGGAACAAAAAAAGGTCACTGTTTCCACCCTTGACAAACTGAAGGAACAAATGAGTAAGATTTCTGAGGATTTCACTTATGTGGAACGGCCTCCCACTCCTTTGGATGTGAAGGACAGACTCCCTGAAAAGTTCTCCACTGCTGATATTCCAAAGTTCAAGCCTACTGACAATCCAATATTCCATTTGAAGGTGTTCTCTACAACCATGGCTCTTAAGGGATTGGACGTAACACTCTTCCTTACGGTGTTCCCTCTCTCCTTAGAACATGCTTGCCAACAATGGTTTTATTCCTTAGATGCCAAGCATACTGCGACTTGGCAAGATGTCACCGACAGTTTTATGAATCGTTACAAGTGTAACATTCAAACTAAAACTTCTGAACGTGAACTCTCCATTCTCAAACAGAAAGAGAATGAAGACTTCACCGCTTACCTGAACAGGTGGAGGGAAACAGCTTCACTTTTGGTAGATCCCCCCAAAGAAAGAGAGATGGTTCGCCTCTTTATTCAAAATCTGATTCATAAATATAGGGAACATCTCAAATTTCTTCCACTGAACACTTTCGAAGCTGTATACGACATCAACATCAATATCGAGGATGAGCTAATAAAGACTGCTGGTAATAACAATAATAACACTTGGAAAAACAAGAAGAACGACCATCCTTCTTCTTCGTCTTCTAAGCACGAAAATACTACCAACAATATAAGCCAAGTTGATCTCAATGAAGTGTTAGCTCTTGATACTCCATTGCCCAAGAAGAAAAGAACTTACACTCCTTTAGGAATGACTTATGATACGGCCTTTGATCGCATTTACAGTCAAGGCTTGATCACACCTATTGGGCAATTTCCAGAGCCAAAACCTGAAGAAAAGAGCGCCAAATGGAATCCCAATGCCCATTGCAAGTACCATCAAGGAAGGGGCCACACTACGGAGCAATGTTGGAATTTGAAGGACGTCATTCAAGACTTGGTGGATGCAAACAAACTTCCTGTCCCTTCAGGCGGCAAGAAGTAATGAACACAAGGCGCACAGCAAATCTTTCGTGCAAGATTTCATGATTTCTTTCTTTATCATTCATCTCCATTCCCCATTCATGTCTAGCATAGGTTTTCCATTTTGAATTTTTATATATGTTTCATGTGTTTCGTTCACCTTTTCCATTAATAAAATGAGCAATTTTCCTGTATATCTCGATCATAGAATTTTTCATTCATTCATTCATTCTCAATTAAAAAAAAAATCAATTACCGAACTAAACCCAAGGTACACCAATGACTTGAGGCACCTTTGCAACTATGTCATTCCCCGTTAACCGTTCAATCATATTCCATTTCTTCATCAACCATTTTGAGCCTCGTCTAACTTTTGGCCATCATTTCTTCAACCCACATTTACTTAACCCTGGGATTGGAAGATGTGTAATTGTATAACATTCAAAAAGCAAGTAAAAAAAAAGCAGCAAAGCAACAATAAAACAATGTCTAAAGGCAAGTGTTCCAATGTCTTTGATATGAACACGTCTCAAATTGCGTCTCTCATCGAGTGCTTGGTACCGTGCCTGAGAAACATGAATGCTAAGTGTGTGATGGACCGCATGATCTGAGATTGTCTACATTGATTCAAAAGAATAAAAAAAAAAAGAAAAAAGAAATTCAAAACAAAAAAAAGTTGAAAATAAACTTACAAAGTCCAAATTTTCAAATACACAATTACACATCTTGGGGGCTTCTCTCGGGTCTTGAGCCCTTTACCTCGTTCTTCCTTAAACCATCAGCTTAACCACATTACAACCCTTGAAAGACCTCTTTGAGGTGTACATACACTTGTGCAAAGTTTGGTTAGAGCTACGTTCGGCCTGATTCCTAACGGATATGTAGGCAACCTCACATCGAGGTGCGGCCATATTCATATTCGTATCCATGCATGATCGAGTCAAATAATATCCAATGCTTACCCCACTAGTACAAAAACATTCATTTGCGTCGCTCATTTAGGGTGTATTTGTGTCGCTTCTATGAGCGACGCAACTGCTCGCGACGCAAATGACTTTTGAGTCATTTGCGTCGCTCCTATGAGCGACGCAAATGACTTGAGTGTTATTTGCGTCACTCGTTTGTTTAAGGAGTGACACAAATGAGTTAACTATTGTTATAATATAGAGTTATTTGCGTCACTCGTTTGTTAAAGGAGTGACGTAAATGACTTAACTATTGTTATAATATAGAGTTATTTGCGTCACTCGTTTGTTAATGGAGTGACGCAAACGACTTAACTATTGTTATAATATAGAGTTATTTGCGTCACTCGTTTGTTAAAGGAGTGACACAAATGACTTAACTGATGTATAGTATAGAGTTATTTGCGTCACTCCTTTGTTAAACGAGTGATGCAAATGACTCAACTGATGTATAAAATAGAGTTATTTGCGTCACTTGTTTTATAAATGAGTGATGCAAATGATTTGTTGAAGATTTATTCAACCACTAATGCAAATTATTTCTTTTTTTTTCAAATCTATTAAAAAAAATTATTATACTTTTCCATCAATATATTGTAATTTTATAATGTAAGACAATTAGATTATGATAAGTTAATCAAATCAAGTATATATTTCGACAGATTTTCCTTCGTATTTTGGCCTACCCATAAATTTGGGAATGACGTCAATGTATACACTAATATCCTATCAAAAAGTTTACAACTTAAAATGATTGGTATCATTAACCAACACAAGAACAAAGACCAACCCAAAATGTTGGTAACCCAATTACATTCATTTCAAGCCTAAGAACTAAACAAAAAAATTCTAACAAATAAATGGAGTTAGCTAAGTTAAATTCTAAATTTCAACATTGCTCATAAAATAGTCTTACCAAATATCTTGAACCACATTTATCTCCTCCCCAGTATAAGGTATTGTTCTAAATAAACCTGTTAACACAACACAAAACAAAAAAAAAAAATCATTTCAAGAGTGTAGCAAATCTAAAATATATTGAATTAGTAATGAAAAATGTGACAACACATACTATAATAAGGTCCTCTTTATATTATGATGATGTTGAACTATTTCAAACGTATAGCACATGACATAGTATCCATATCTCACATCCTCCCAATTTTTTATGTCACTACACGCATCATAGCAACAAAGTAAGTTGACATACTAATACACCTTATTTCAAAAGAGATACAAACTCAAGCATGAAAAATAAGAATACTAATCATTCTCACCATATTTTAAGAAAAAATACATCTTAGTTAAGAATTTATTTCACTCCATTGTTTTTATTTATCACTATACATGCAACAAAATATTCACTGTACCTTATTCTTCGAGAACTTCAAGTCATACACTTTCACAATCTCCATTGTTTTTTGAACTATGATGAAGTTGTTTGTATGGAGACCAAACTTTGTCTTGGAGGCTTAAACTTCTTTTAAAACTTTTGTAATTGATCAAATATTTCCAAGATCCCATTCTAATCAAATTAACTGCTTCAAGAATTATTATCAGTTTCCCCCAACCCCCTGAAAAACAGACAATTATCTCAGGTGATAAATAATGTTGAAACTTAGTCTTATATAAACATGCTAATGTGAAATTTAGGATTTAGGAACTATGTCTCGGCTTTTTCTGCAAATAGTAAGTCCTGTAATTATTTTGTGGTAGAAAATATGGCTCTTATTTGTGAGATTGAACTAGCTAGAGAAATGCGATAAGCAGATTATTGATCCAACTGATACCTGATATTATATAACAATCAAACTAGAAAATTCAATGAAATACAAAAAGATTAGAGTTAATATGTATATGTGGCTGTGAGAGAGAAACCTTTACCTTCTCCCCTACAATTTACAAACAACTCAACAACAAAAAAGCTCTCTGCAACAAATTGCCGCTGCACCAAAGCCACACCACCGCCACTAACCACCAACCATCAGCTGCACTTGCACCAAGTATTTCACCACACGAAAATTAATTAACCAATGTAATCAAGCCTATGCTATATGTAAGTACTGTAACCTTATTCTTCAAGAACTTCATGACATACACTTTCATAACCCAATACATGTATTTAAAAAATATAGCTTTATTACAACATCAAAGAATACATAGAATCTAACAAAAATATATCTTTAACTATAAAGCTAGTGAAATCATAAATGTATTTCAAAATCCACCTTAGAAATGCCACAAGTTGAGTATACTGAAATTTAGATTAGCAAGACTGTATAATGAAACTCTAGATTGTGGAACCGATATTCGGTAATTAATGAAGAATTAGATTATGCCACTTCAATTGTAATGTTAATTTACCTTTAATATGAGAGAAATCAAGTAAGAAATTAACTATAATATCTCAAATTATAGAACAATTAAACAAGAACATTCATCGAATAACAATAACATTAGAGTTACTCTGAATATAAGAGAGAAGCCTTAACATTATCCCCTGCAATTCACAAACAATTCAACAACAAATTGCCCGCTACACCAAGCCACACCACCGCACTCACCACCGACCACAAGCCACTTGCTACACATGCACCAAGTAATTCACTAATCAAACTTTATATCTATATACAAACACTCGATTAAACAAGAACAATTGCTCAAAATACCGTGAAATTGTGATAGATTTTGTGAAGTCAAGGTTTACATAAAATGAGAAATTAAAAAGCTCACTCACAAATGAGAAATTATAGAACAAAGCAGAACGAGAGAACTCCAGCAACTTTTGAACAACAATTTACCACCGCAGCGGCACCCAAATCTCCACTAATTAATAGTGCTGCCACCGCGAAAATCAACCAATGCCGCCCCAGCTAACCATCAACAGCAACACCAACAAGCAGCAATCCCCTACTAGCCTCGATTTAGGGTATTTCATCTCGAATATCAACGATTTTAATAGTTTGAATTTCATGGGTGGTTTAAGTCGATTTTTGCTAAAAAATGGGGTGTTTTGCCTCGAATTTGCTAGAAAGTGGGGGGTTTTGGCTTGGATATTTTGGGGTTTTCAATTAGTGGTCGAATTTGTTGATTTTGGGGTCAAATTTGTTTGTTTGGGTCGAATTTATCAGGGTTTTGCTGTTGAAATCAGTAGGTTTTGCAGTACGAACGACAACAAGGCAACGCTGGGGAATCGGTTGGTTGGACGAATTTCTTGAGGTTTTGATGTTGAATATTTGGGGATTTTGCAGTTGAATTTGCTAGGGTTTAATTTTGAAGTTCGAACGGCGACATGGGAGCAAGAGTATTTTATATTGAATGAGAGGAAGCACTGAGTGGGTGGTAGTGGTAATAGTCATTTGCGTCGCTCAATGAAGAAAGAAGTGACGCAATTTACCCACAAAGTTATTTGCGTCACTTATCAATAAATGACTGACGCAAATAACATTACTATTTGCATCGTTTCTATTTATGAAAGCGACGCAAATATAAGTAAGCTGAAATATATCAGACTTTTGCTTCGCTTTATAGTTAATGTCCGACGCAAATTACTTAGAGTTAAGCTAAAATATATCATTTGCGTCATTTAATTCTACGAGTGACGCAAATAAGGCGACGCAAATGAGCATTTTTCTACTAGTGCCCCTACCCATTTAGAACTAGACTTGGGGGCTTGAACCCACATTGTTTAGGGTAATTCTACCCTGCCACGTGGCCAATCAGAAGGTGACACGTGTCAGCCCCAGATTGGTCTAAAATGGACCAATCCCTGCTCGATACGTGACATTCCCGAAATCAAGGGAAAAGGCGGCCTTCAGGCCCAAATCCCGAGAATGCCGCCAAACGGCGCAGCCCACATATGATTAGGGTTCAGTAACCTAATCAGGGGCACAATTCCCAAAGACCCTATAAATAGGGAGATGTCCCTCATTTTGAGGACACGTTTTTTACCATTTATTACACATTTTACTCTTTGATAGAGACATCCTGAGCTTGGAATCCGAGTGGATCCCCACCTAAATTTCCGCACCTTTTTCTCCCTTCAAGTTTCTAACTTGTGCGTCGGAGGCGGAGCACCACCCAACTGGTGTCTCCGTTTGTTTTGCAGGTACATCTCACCCAGGATCAATCTTCGTGTTGTAACTCTCCCGAGGGACAAAAACATCCAAAACATTTGGCGCCGCCTGTGGGGAGAGTACCTCGAAGATGGTTCAAGAGTCTGTACCACCCCCTAACCGTCTCCCGAAGACCCAGAAGTCTTTACAGACCTTGAGGAGGATGAGGATCCTCAGGTTGAAACCTCTACAGCCGAGGACGACTCTCTCAGAGTCAAGCGCATCCGGCCCAGAGAGACTCTGGAGCGGGGCACTTCCCAGGCGGGTCCGAGCAGACCTACTGGGCAGCCGGAAGGGGCAACACAAACGGCAGCTGGATCGGCCCCTGTCACCCGAGACGAACTCATGAGGTTCATGACGAGTTTCTAGGGTGAAATTACAAAGCTGATCACCAAAAGCCAGGCTGGCCCAAGTAAAGATCAGTCGGCGAAGAAGACTCCTCCAGAGAAGGGGAAGTCAGTCAGAAACCGGCAGCCCACTCCTCACCCAAAGGAGAAGGCAGCCGGGACCATCGATTGGTCGAAAATTCTCCTTCCTGGGGGGAACACCAATAACCCTCGCCGGCCTCATCAGGCGGTGAGAAGTAAAAAATCAACTCGATGCCCGGGAGATCATCAACCGGAAGAGAAATCAATCGCTATCTGAGTCGGCTTCAACGTCGAACTTTCCAGACAGCTTCAACAATATTTCTGCAGGGAGTGCACCCTCCTTGCATGAGAGTCAGACAGGCGGTAATACCGTCCATTCTGGCCCTCATATGATTGGAAATGTGCCGTATGTGCCTACTCAGGCTTACAGACAGTATCCTCCTCACTTCATGCAGCCGACCTTCTTTAGGGATCAGGCGGCATATCCAAATGTCCAGCCATTGGACTGGCAGCTTCGTCTGCTGCGCCTGGGTGAACAACCTTCTGCGTTCACTCGGGAGATAACCGAGGCGGCACAGCCGACCAAGGTTAAGAATGTGTTGGTTGGTACCTATGATGGTACCACCAATCCGGAAGATCACCTCATGGCTTACACCAACCTCATGTATCTGCAGGGGTTGGATGATGCCACTTGGTGTCGATGCTTCCCGGCTACATTGAAGGGCATTGCCTAACAATGGTTTGGCAATCTGCCAGCTGGGTCCATAGATAGCTTGAGGAAGCTTGCCTTCCTGTTTGCTTCCAACTTCTCAATGAACATCCCTGCTAAGAAAACAAGCCTTGATTTGAGCACTGTTAAGCAGGGAGAGAGAGAAGGGCTGCGCTCATATGTCAAGCGGTTCAACCTGATCAGAATTCAGATTCAGGGGCTGTCTGATGAGGTAGCCTTTACAGACTTTTTTAAAGGTCTGAGAGACGGGTCGACCTTTAAGTTCGACCTAGTCAGAAAAGGGGCTTTCACCCTACAGGCGACCCTGAGGGAGGCGGAAAGCTACATTCAAGCTACCGACCTCTGCTCGCCTGGTAGCCAGTCGGACTCCAAGAAGTCTGACAAACAGAAAGACAGCCGGTCAGCTCAGCCGGCTAAAAACAAAGAAGAGAGCAAGAAAATAAAAGAAGTCTGGGCGGTTACTGACTCTGACCAGCCGTCCCAGAAGAAAAAGAAAGAATTTAAATCGTACGTCCCCAAGTACGAGTTTAGTAAAGACTGCAACTCCATCTTCATGGAGGTAAAGGACCGGCTGTCCATTGAGAAGCCGAATCCTATGAAGAGTTCTGTTCAGACACGGAACAAGAATAAATTCTGTCAGTTCCATGAGGAGGTCGGCCATGACAGCAACGACTGCTTCAGTCTTCAGCGTGCGTTGGACTGTCTGGATGACAAAGGGCTGTTGAAGTCCTACATTTCTAAGTCCCCAGCCGGGCAAAAAAGAAAAACAAGGGTCAGTCCTCCAAGACTACCCCCCAGCCTGCTAGTAGCTCGGATACCGATAAGGAGCCGGTCTACACTATAGCAGGCGGGTTCTCATGTGGTGGCCCTACCATCCGGGGCACCAAGAGGCATCTTCGAAAGATGGACAAAGATGATGATGAACAGGCGGAAGCCAGCTCCTCCTTCCTAGACGTCTTGGTCACTAAGAAGGATAGGGGCAGCGTTCGCCGCCCGCATGATGACCCGGTGGTTATTCAATGTAAGGTTGCCAATCAACTGGTTGGACGGATCCTTATAGACACCGACAGCTCATCAGACATCATCAGTCTCCGGTGCCTGCAAAAGCTGAAATACAACGACAACAGCATGCATCTGGTCACCCACCCCTTGGTTGGTTTTGGGGGTGGGATGGTTTACCCAGCCGGGAGAATTGACTTACCCATCCGGCTAGGAGAGAAAGGCCAGGGACGACATATTGTCGTCAGATTCTTGGTCGTTGAGGAGTTGACCGCCTATAACATCATTCTTGGCAGGCCAACCCTCAACGTAGCCAAGGCAGTAATCATCCCTTCCCTCATGCTCATCAAGTATGAGAGGGATGACGGCTCTGTTGGTTCCTTGAATGGGGATCAGAAGACGGCCCGAGAATGTTATCTCTCAGCCGTCCGAGATACCGTGGCCCCAGGCGGTCAGGAACCAATAGACCTTGACAACGTCAAGGATGCTGACCCAGCTCCTGCTCCATCAGCAGCCGGAAAGAAAAGAAAGGCTCCTCTGCTGGTGGAGGTGAAAAAAGAGAAAAAATAGCAATCACTGACCGGTGAACGGTCAGATGAGCTCCGTCCCCAACCGGCTGGCGAAAGCATTGATCTCGTACTAGACGACAGCCGTCCAGAACGCACTGTTAAGGTTGGGACGGTTGCTCATGCTACCTTGGGTGCAAGCTTGCACCTTCTGCTGAAAGAATTCAAAGACATTTTTGCCTTTGAAGTGGAAGAGATGCTAGGCGTCAGCCTGGATCTTGCTGTCCACAAACTCGCCGTGGACCCCATAAAGAATCCCATCCGGCAAAAGAAAAGAAACCACGGCGAGGAAAGAAGTCAGGCGGCAGCTGCCGAAGTCAAAAAGCTGCTCGACGCCAGGTTCATTCGGCCCTGTAATTTCCCCGACTGGGTGGCCAATGTGGTCCTTGTGAAGAAACCGAATGGGACCCGGCGCATGTGTGTTGATTACATAGACCTAAACAAGGCGTGTCCAAAGGACAGTTATCCGCTTCCAAAGATCGACAGTCTGGTCGATTCTACAGCCGGTCACGCCTTGATGAGCTTTATGGATGCCTACTCCGGCCTCCATCAGATACCCCTGTGGAAGAAAGATCAAGAGAAGACGGCCTTCGTCACTGATCAGGGGCTATTCTGTTATACTGTGATGCCGTTTGGCTTGAAAAATGCGCCTGCCACTTTCCAACGGATGATTAATACGGTCTTCATTAATCAGATTGGGAGGAATGTGGAGGCGTACATTGATGACATGATAGTCAAATCCAAGCTACAGACGGATCACCTTGCTGATCTCCGAGAAACATTCACCACCCTCAGGCGGCATAAGGTTATGTTAAATCCTAAGAAATGCGTCTTCGGTGTTGAGTCTGGGAAGTTTCTCGGATTCCTGATTGATCAAAGGGGGATAGAGGCTAACCCCAAAAAGATACAGGCGGTGATTGACATGAAGTCACCCCGCTCTGTTAAGGAAGTTCAGAGACTCACCGGTTGTCTGGCCGCCCTGGGGAGGTTCCTCAGCCGGTCAGGTGACTAATGCCTCTACTTCTTCCAAGCAATCAGGAAGAAGACCAGATTTGAATGGGGGGATGATGCTGAGGCGGCGTTCCAGAGGTTGAAAGAGCATTTACATTCTATGCCTAGGTTGGTCTGTCCTTTGCCTAGGGAGACGTTGTACATGTATTTAGCCGTCTCAGACCATGCCCTCAGTGCCGTTCTCCTTGCTGAGCGAGATGGCGTGCAGCTCCCGGTTTACTTCATTAGCCATGTTCTTAAAAATGTTGAACTCCGGTACCCCATGGTTGAAAAATTTGGCCTCACTTTGTATATGGCATTCAAAAAATTGAAGTCTTACTTTTTGGCACATTCGGTGGTGATTTACACGGACTAGCCACTCAAGCGACCAATGTCTACCTTGGACTCATCTAGGAGAATGTTGAAATGGGCTATTGAAATGCAGAGCCTTGAAATCACTTACGAACCAAGAAAGGTAGTGAAAGGTCAGGAGTTTTCCGACTTCATTGTGGAAATGACTCGTCCGGTGGCTTCGGATAATCTTGATCAGGTTTGGAAAGTGTACGTAGACGGGAGCTCTACAAAGAACGGCTGTGGTGCAGGCGTAATTTATGAGTCTCCTGAAGGAGACAGATTTGAATATGCACTACGCTTCAAGTTTCAG